TCCCTCAATTTTATTTCCTTTTAAATAAATAGTAAAAGAAATAAACTTTTAAATAACTGAAATGCTGCTTTTTATTACTTGTTTTGAAAATATGGCTTCCGAAATTTAAGTTATTTCTTTCTGCTCTTCTCTGAAAGTAATGTTTTAAGATGACAGTAAAAAGTAATCCGTAAATAAATAAAAGATCAGTAAATAAATAAACTTTAAGATTATTTGAGATATGGACTGCTGCTGCTACAGTAAACTGATGTGATGTTTTATGGGGAGCAAAAAGTAGAAAAGAGCATGAAACAATTCAGGAAAATTTGTTGGAATGACAATAGGAGGATAGATCAAATCTAAGAAGCAAGAGCAGTGAATAAAGACCAAAAAAGATTTGAAGTGAAAGAAATAAGGAAGAGACTGTTTGTTTAGAATGACAGGAGAATATAGAATGTGATGCAGCCACATGCAGCACCATAGAAAGAGTTTAATTGACTCAGGAGTGTCTGCACGGTATGGTCCAAAAAGTCAAGATGGCCAGGCACATAAAAACTTGTTTTTCCCCCTTCCTTTTGCCTTCCTGTGTTTAGCCTGGACATGAAACTGAATGAGAGCCATGAGAAAAGAGAAAGAAATTTTTGAATATCAGTTCAGCTTGGGAGATTTAACTGAAATGCTTTCAAATCCAAGCTCTTTGTAAATTCCTAACGTAAATAATGAAGTATATAGCTAAGCTAACGATGAAGAATTAGCTATTTCAAATTCCAGAAAAAACTACCAAAAACCAAACAAACCCACAACTCATGGAGAAAAGAGGGAAAAAAGAAAGAATTATAACATTAATCTCCTTTTCAAGACCTCTGTTGATCACCACACTTAAACAGATGGCTCTGTTGATATTGCTCTTTCTTTACAGTCATATTGATAGGGACACTATTGAGAACATTATCCACATATGTTATCTCCATAGTCTCAAATACATACCATTGAAAATTATTTGATAATATTTTCAATAATAAATATTTTTTAATAATTTGGGAGTTGCTACTAAGAATAATGCTTCCCTCCTGGATAATTCAACAATATAATGCAGTCCCCTGTGTTTCTACTATATGACCACTCTATGGCTTTCCCTGATATAATTTCCTGCCATACAGTGTCACATTTTGAGAAAAGGAAGACCAAAATGACATACACAAAGTCAATCCTTCTGGGAAAGGATTTGGGCTTGAAGAGCAAGATACTGTAAGTAATGGAAAGTGCCATGCTTATTGTTGGTTCACAGTGAGGCAAAGATTCTCCTAGAATCCCTTTTCAAAGGAACTGTCCACTCTCGCTAACTAAACTTCAGCACATAAGTTAATAATGCTTTGACATTTGGTTTAGGCAGCTATTCCTGCCTTTTGGATCATCAGAAACTCTTTTATGGTAAGAGCTTTCCCCAAACCTGGCCTCAAAGTCTGAACACACAAGCAAGCAAGGCTTGAAATATACTTAAAATGCATGTGTTTATGAACTGCATGATCTTACTAGACAGAGGTTTCACCGAAGTGCAACCATGTTTTGACTTTGACATTCTGAAGGGAAAAAATAATTGCTATACCATGAAATACAGAATCCTTCTTGTTAAAGGACTCAATAGTATTTCTATCTCCCTTAAAATCTCTCTAACTTAGGCTATTTTCTGTTAAACAAATATAATGCTGCTTAAAAATAACCCGGGTGCATCCCTATCCAACCAGAAAAGAAAGCTGTGATTTTCACAACAAGCACAAAGCAGATGGGATCATTTGGTTCCATAAAAAGTATAGCTTCTGGCAATTTCAAGAAAAAAGAAGGGCAGTCAGATAGGGTTGCTATAGAAAATAACATGTTTTTATACTCTACAAACGATCACAGATACTGTTGATTGCTTAGACTAACTTTTCTAAATTGATACCTTTTTACATTTGCTGGATCATCTCTCACATACTCTCCAACTAACAAATCCCAAATCATTGTGTCAGCAAATTAAAAATTAGAATCACAAGAGATGCAGGACAAGTTAAAATAATAATTCTCAAGTTTGGTATAAACTATAGGATTAAGTAACATCAAGGAAAGGAATATTAAGATAAAAAATACTTTCAGATTTTCAATCCTGTTAAGTGCTATTTTTTTAAATAGAGCAAATTGACTATATATGGCAGGACCCCGCCTTCCTGACAGAATTACATTCAGGGCATGATTTTTTGTCATTAGGTCTTCATGCTGGGAAAGGCTGCTCCTACTGAGTCACAAGCTTTTTAAAAAAGATATAGCAGTCATACTAATACATAATTTTCCAGTCTTAAATAGCCCCTGCATCATATGCATATCTCTGTAGTAGATGAGGAATGGGTAGAAACAAACAAAAAGGTGGACCACTTTAAAATTTCTCCTGTATTTTGAGTTGCCTGAAATCCCAACAAATCATCACTGGCTATACCAATAAAATGTAGATATCAATATCTAGGATTCAGGTCTCCGGTATAGTAGAACTTCCCTAACTAGCCCATCAGGTAATGCATTTTTCATCAAGCAGTTGCATTCAGCTCACATTAATTCATGTTTCAGGCTGTTTCCTGGATATTTCTAGTAATCTCAGTTCTTGCTACACATTCTTAGCAGGATTTTTAGTAGCTGCGTGTACATTAATAAAGGAAAAGGGCCGAGTGGATTTGCTTGTAGCCAGGCAAAAAAATGATACTTAGAGGAATGTGACATAGTGAAAACCCAAGACCACTTCATTCTGTCATCCAGATAACAACTGTAGATCAAACTTAATGTTTAAATAAGCAGAGCATGGCTTGGAAGATGAGGATGTCATAATAAAGCCTGCTCTTTCAGTGTGTGGTGGATGATATACAGTATGATGAGTTCTAAACGGTCTGGAGATTTTGGAATTTGCTTTTTTATAATGCTTTATAAGCAAGCAATATTTATCCAATTGCTGATATTTGCTAGTATACATTGCTATTTTCAAATTAGAATATATAGAACTGAAATTGGACCTAAGGAAAATGTAAAGTATATCATGCATAGAACTAGTTTGGTCTAGTGGTTAAGGCACAAGGCTAGAAACCAGGAGACTGTGAGTTCTAGTCCTGTCTCAGGCATGAAAGCTGGCTGGGTGGATTTGGAGGAAGAGGAAGAAGAAATATAAGGTAAGTTTGGCACCTGGAGTTATAAATCAGTCAATCAATCAATAAACCAGAATCCGTTATTGTGAAGCATTAGAGCCCCAGGCTTTTGCTTAAGCAAATGTTTTTAGCTGGTTTATCCACAAAATGGATGAACCTTCATACCTCCAAGTTTTTCTTAGCCCGTTTAAAATAAGTAAGAGTTCTATGGCACCTTAAATGATGAGATAAATTTCTACATTTATTATTAGAAGGTAGGATCTTACAGAGGAAGAAATTTTGTCAATCCCCACTGATACAGAGAAGCTCAATCAGCAGGAAAATACCATTATAACACATGGTATATGAAGTTTATAATAGTGAAAAGCTACAGATGGGTTTCCTAGCATGATGCTTTTCTAGATCCAAACATGCTTCGCTTACGAGAAAGACCCAATCAAAGTCCACTTTCCAGCTAAGAAAAATTCCCTCCTACTGTAACCAACAGGAAAGGAAAAGATGGGATCCTATTATACCAAGGGGAAGGGAACCTCTTCCATTTAACCAGCTTTTAAGTTTTATAGACAAATCTCAGTTTTGGAAGCTTGTTGTCTTATCACCAGGCACTATGATATATCTACATATATGGCACAGATATGTACAGTAGATTTATCAAGAGATAAATTGAAAAAAATATTTTGTAAAAAACAGTGCTCCAAAGACATTAAATGTAAAGAGGTAAAAATATCTTATTCTTGGAATGAAGTGATAACAGATGTGTGAACATCATGGTAGATAAATTATTTTCAGCACACAAGAGCTTTCGGGGCAGCAGAGCAAATGAGTGGAGAGTGACACTTTCTTTCTAATTTTAATCTGGACATTTTAATCTTCAAAACCGACAAATGATCTGTACAGTTTATGACCTACCATGCCAAAGTGACCAAAGATTGTTCCCTTCTCTTTCTAGACTTAACCATCACCCCTTCCCTGCTTAGAAGTTCCGGGCACCAAACCCAGAAGTTTTTCCTAGCTTTTGCTTGACTTCCTTCAAAACCTGATGGAGTCTTCAACTTGGCAGATCACAAGAAGTGCAAGTCTGGTTTCAGAAGGACCAAAATAAACACGCAATCGATGGATGAAAGGCTATTTGGCACTAGAGCCCTTTCCTCCACTCCGCTACACAAAGGCCGCCTCATCACAAAAATGCCTCTTCCCGCAAACCCCCTTCCACAGCCTCTGCCTACATTTCCACTTGCCCTCTGCAGGAGGGCTTAACAAGTAACACCCCCCCCCCAAAAAAAAAGCCAACACCCGCACATCTCAGAAACCTGCGCCCCCCTGGCTTTGCAACCTTAGCGAGGAGAGGAAAACAGACTCTGCCTGTCTCCTGAGGGCGTCCTTGGGTTCTCCCCAGGTGCAAAAGGGGTTCTCTTAGGTCCCCCCTCAACGTATGCCAGTCAAGCACCCAAAGCCGAGTCCTCCTCACTTTGTCTCCCGTCCCACCACCGCTTCTCGCAGAGGAAATACTTTTTACGGGACCCTTCCCTTCCTCTCCGCCCTGGTCTCCTGGCTTCTCCCTCCTTTCGCCGCCGCCCCTCTTTCGGTTTCCAGGACGCCCCGCCACAGGATTTCGGCACGAGCAGGGGGCTCTTGAGCCCGCCCCGGCCAGCTCTTCCTGCGTGGGATGCTCCGCTGATGTCATGCTCTCGCTCGGCTGCCTGCACCCCCTCCCCCCCCCCCTCCCCCTCCCTCTCTCTCTCTCCCTCTCTCTCTCTCTTTCTCTCGAATGGGCTCCGCCAAAAGGGGGCTTGAAAGTTAGCCATGGCTTCCGGGAAGCAAAAGTCTGGAGAATAAACAAGCCGCCCGCCCTCTTACCTCGGGCACAGAGTGGCTGGCTCGACACGTGTTTGTGCGTGGCGCGCCGGGGCAAGGAACGCCTCAGAAGCTCCGGCGCAGCAGCAAACGCCTCACGCTCTGCTTGCCGGTCTTCCTTTTGCAGGTGAGCCTTTCCCTGTTTCTCCTCCTCCTCTTCCTCCTCCTCCTCCTCCTCCTGCTGTTGCAACTGTCGCCGCTGCTGCCCGCTTGCCCGTGTTGTGTGTGCGCGCCCTGAGCCACTGCAGCATCTCTGCATTAGGATGTGCTCCTCCCTTCCCCTCCCTCTTCCCTACGCGCGTCCGCCCTCCAGCAGCGTTCAAGGGGCTTAAAGAGGGGATCCCCCCCCCCTTCCTCCCTTTCCACTCTGCCTTTCCCTCGTTTGCCAGCATCAGGCAGCGCTGGAGGCAAGAGTGACTTGCAGCTCCATGTATAATTCACGGGCTTCAACTGCGCGGCTGCCACCCGTTTCTTTTGGCGCCCTTCTCGCTTCAGGGAGACCGTCTCCCTTTAACACTTCTCTGAACGACGGGTGTTTGGGTCCCTCCTGGTCTCTAGGCCTTGGGGGAAAACCAAACGGTTTAGTAGTTAGCGTTATGAAGCCGCTTTCTGCCCCCAATCCCGTCTCAAGCAAAGAAATTCCGGCTTCGAACCTGTCCCTGGCCGGGCGAATGTTTAATTTCGAAATGCCGTCCACAAGCAAGGTCTTGCTGAAGGACTTTGACCAGCATCTTCCTTTTTTTTTTTTCCCCCAAATGTTGCTGCTCCTAATTGTCAGGATTCATGGCAAAATGGATAATCCCTCGTTACATGTTCTTGGCTGGAATATGTTAAAAGCTGCAAGGAAAGCACTCTGTCTGAAAACATCTTAATTTGAGGTGTTAATGTTGCTCTTCCCCTTATAACTGTAGCTGCATGCTTCTTTTTAATAACAGTTTTATTAAGGATTAAATTTATATTACACAGATAAAAGTAATACAGACTACGAAAGATAAAGTATGTAAAAATTAGAAAAATAAAAATGTGCAGAAGTGAAGAAGAAAAAAAAGAAATGATATAGTTGCTCATCTCCAGCAAATATAGTTAGCATTAACAGTTTATTAGCATCTGTTAAAATACAACCAACCAGCATCTCTTCATCCCATATCTTTCCCCTTTCAAAGATTTAAGCAAAGCTTCAAAGCTTCTTTACTCCATCCTACATGTTCATTGAGGGTTAGAAGATGCAACAATTATATTTAATACACCCACTTTGAATCTTTCCTTTTACATTTACATTTACATTTCTATTTTATTTTTGTATTTAATCAAATCCCCTTAATCTGACCAACAAAACCTTTAAAACACTGTCATCTGGTCCTAATTAGTATACATCTATAAACATTAATAGAAGTAGCAACCAATTTATTTTAGCCTTGATCAAATATATCAACTTCATATTCTTTTCCCATTCTCACAATTTTAGTGCCCTCATATAATGTCCAAGCATCTGTTTCCTTTTCATGCTCTATTTGCGTCTTCTCACAAAATCATTGGCAACTTTAATAAGTTCCTTTTGTACATCAAATGTGAGGAGATTATCCACATCACTTTTCATATTTTCAGTCTCAAGAAATCATTGACAACTTTAACACTTTCTTTTTATAAATCCAATATAAAAAGGTCATCCACATCACTATTCTGCTTTAGTAGTTATATGTCATTTTGATCATTAAAAATCATCCAGTGTCATCTGTACACCCAGCAATTAATCTTTTTGTGTATCCTCTATTCAATTTTTTTCCACCTCCGTATAAGCTGTTGTTGTAAAATCCACATTTAAATCAATTTCAGCTTTATTTGGTGGAGATTATTCCTCTTCCATGATACCATCTAGTCTATCAATAATCCAGATACCTTTAAAATTATTTTTCTGAACCCAATATAGGTAGTCCTTAACTTACTACCACTATTGAGCCCCAAATTTCCTTTGCTAAGCAAGATAGTTGTTAAGTGAATTTTGCCCCATTTTATGACCTTTCTTGCCATAATTATTAAATGAATCACTGCAGTTGCTAAGTTAGTAACACAGTTGTTAAGTGAATCTGGCTGCCCCATTGACTTTGCTTGTCAGAAGGTCACAAAAAAGTGATTAGATGACCCCAGGATACTGTAACCATCTTAAATACATGTCAATTGCTAAGCATCCAAATTTTGGTCACATGACGATGGGAATGCTGCAAATGGTCATAAGTGTGAAAAAAGGTCCTAAGTCACTTTTTTCACTGCCATTGTAACTTAGAATGGTCACTAAATGAATGGTTGTAAAATGAGGACTACGTGTAGTCACAGGTTTCTCTCAATAGATACATTGATATATTCATTTCCCTCTGGTGCCCTCTAGTGATCAACCTTCAAAGTCATCTTAATTTTTCGAGATGTAAACATACAAACTTTCCCATGGGAAGGATTCTTATAATTAATTTCAAAATCTTAATACAAGTTCATTTAGAACTTTAATCTAGTTAAAAATGTAAATATTAGAGATGTATATGATCACCCTTTATTGTATAGTCACAATTTTTTCCAAAACCTTAAACTCATAATTAAAATTTATTAAACAATTGAAGAAAACCTCATACAATGAATGTGATAAGCTTGCTGTTCTGAAGAATTTTCAAAAAGCAATGTAAAAAAAGGAAAATCCAAAATTATTTAGAAGTGAGGTTTGGTTGAATCTTGAGTTCATAAAGGCTACATTGATAGCAGTGAGTTCCGTGTAATCCCAAGTCTCCCAGCAAGCTGCTGTGAAAACCTCAGTTCCTGCCATCTGTTCATAAAAAACAGTTATCCAGAGTACATATTGGCAATCTCGAGATCTTTCCTTTGTTTGGAAAGAGTTTGGCAGTCAAGATCCAATATCCAGATGCCATTTGCATTGTTTCCTGTGCCTCCAGGATGTCAGTTTGTCATTTCTCCACCAGAAGTCTCTTCTTGTATGTTTCTTTTCTAATGCTAGTATTCATATGCCTGTAGATCTACGCAGATCACTGTTCCTCACTGCTAAAATATCACAACCTAAGTCAGGATAGGTGATCCTAGGGAAGAGAATTATAATAGATTGTATTAACTGCTGAGGATAAGTGCAAAAGGAGCACATAATCTGCTTGATACACTACTCCATGGGTATTAAACTTGCGGCCCACGGGCCAGATGTGTTACATGCTTGCCACGCCCACACCCGGTTTAGCAAAGGGAAAAAAAGTCCCAATACATCATGTGACGCTGCCGTAATGACGCGAGTTTGACACCCCTGCACTATGCTATAAAATCACAGGCTAAAAAGGGACACATGATCTGGTTCCACATGATACACTAAACTATAAACTCACAAGCTACATTTATTTTGATGTGTTGTGGGAATTTTGCCTGATTAGTTAATGACTTAGTTTATCATATGAAGCTAGGCAATTTGATTAACTAATTAAACCATGGTTTAGTTAAGTAGAAATTATCATGACAGCTATAATGTTCATTATATGAATGGAACACCTATGAACAAAACAAGAGATTTTGTATTAGTGCTTTGCTACAGAAGAGTAAACAGTCTTGGCACTTTTATCTTTTTGCAGTGATCTTCTTGGCTACTTCTTTTAAAGGATGATGCAGAAGCAATGATTTGGCTAAAAATGGGAAATGGTTTAGAAGAGAAGGCATCAGATAGCTGGAGGAGACAGGAGACATCCAAATGCAGAGATATACACTGAGAACAAGTTTAAATATTTAGATACACTGCTCCAGGAAAAAAAAAGAATGCCAAAAATCAAGTTGATTTTTGATTGATTATGGTTCAGAGTGCTCTTAAAAAGCTATTCAAAATGTAATGAACTAAAAAAAATTCTGAACATCTGGATCTTTTCCTTAAAATATGGGCTAGTCTTGGATGGGTGTTCTGAATTTAATTGGGGCTTTATTTTGTCTTCCCAAACTTTAAACACTAACTTTTGCCATTCGGTAATCCAATGTATGTATATAATATATGCAATCAACTGTCAAGTTGTAAACTACAATCTAGTTAGAGGAGGAATTGCATACATCAAATCTTCATTTAGCAACTGCCTCCAACAGCGACTGCATTTTTGACAGTGGTGAAAAAGTGAGTTATTTCCAGAAAACTTTCTTGTCATTTGGACTCGCCCAGCTATGTGGGATCGTACCTTTCTGATGCTGTAAAGCAAAGGAAAACTGAAGACTTGCAGTCACATAATTTCTCTGCTTTGCTTAATGACCAAGTTTCTGGTCCCAATTGTGACTGCTAAAAAGGACAACCTGTACACCTCTGCCTTTCCAATGATGGAGGAAATCTTTTCAGTGATTTTCATTGTCCTGCCTTTCTACTTGGTCATTGACAAAGAATATTCTCTCTTAATTCATACCTTTCCCCAATGTGATGTCCTTCGTATAACATCTCCTGTCATTCACATCCAGCCCTGTCATGATGAAAATTCTAGTACAGTATATGAGGAAGACAATAGATGGATTAAAGCAAAAGTTTTCATTTATATCAGGCTTTCTATAAAACTTTATTAAAGATGCATGGTGGTAGATTTGGAAGAGAATTTCTCCTTTCTTATTATTTTTTAAAAACTAACTTTAGGAAAGAGTGGGGTGGGATACCTTCAGTTCAAAACACAAACCACAATTAGAGACTGATAAGACTAGTGCCAAAATGCCTGGCTTGACAGGACATGCTGTTTTATTGCCTAGAAAATTTAGTGTTCAAAAGATACTTGTCAACTCCCAATGGATAAATGATCCAAGGATGTCATTTGTGATTAGCTTTTTTGTGATTCATATTGTTGTAATAACACATACTGTATTTTTCCGTGTATAAGATGATACATTTCTTAAAAATATTTACTTAAAAATGGAGGGGCATCTTATAACACGGGGGGCCGAGAGGAGAACTGCGGTTGCAAAACTGCTGATACCTTATCTCTGCAAACTAGCCTCACGAGTGAAACCTCCAACTGCTTAAAATATTGATTTCTGAATTTTGGGTAAGAAAAGTTGTGGGGGACGTCCTATAAATGGGGGTGTCTTATAGATGGAAAAATACGGTATATTAATAGGAGGTTTTCTTAATATTCTATTCACATGTTTCAGGGTGAAAGAAGTTTGTGAACTCTAAAACTTTCCATAATCCTGTGGGACCCTGCCACCTACATGTGGTTTGAGATGTATCTAAGTCCTGTATACAAAATCAAGAGATACGGATTAAAGAAGCAACAAAATAATGTATGTGTTGTGGTATGTCCTTATTGAACACATTAAGCCAGCATTCATTTTCTCTGTTGGGAAAAAAATGCATGAAGTTTAAGACTTAGTAATCAATAGTGTCTTCTTAAGCAGTGGTGAATTCA